GTCAGCATCGTGATGGCAGGGTCGAGGGGAGTCGCTGAGAGAATGAGACCATTTCTGGCTAGAGAATCTAATTAACTCTACAACACATTGTTCCCTCTGTGTGATAAGACCACTTTAATGTTGTATATTTGTATGATAAATCAGTAGGAGTTAAAATTATGGATGGTTTCTATTTCAAATATTTACCAATTAACTTTAAGAGATGTGGAATTTGTGATTGTCAGGTGCCAGTTTTTGTATCTACTGCCATTATAAACATCGATCCGTATATATACCACACCACATTCCTTATCCCTCACTCCAACAACAGCGTAAAGTTCTTATAGTCACTTTTTTGTCTCGACAATCTGACACAAAAGACAATACATGTAGGGTGTAGTGACAGGGAGTTGTAGAAACATTTCAAACTCATGTCTCTTTTGGTCCATAATGTTTACCAGGCCCTGATCATGTTGATTTCTGCGACCTCTGGCTAACATATTTATTGAAGTTATAAAGCACACATGTCCTACATGGCATTCTCATTGGAATGTTTCATTCATGATACAAGATGTATATGTATACAAGAGCACATGACAAATGTACATGTAACACATACAGAACCATGTTTAAGGTACTGGATTTTTTATTGATAACAATGAACATTGTGTGACCTTTAAATTAGCAATACACTGTATAAAAATGTGTGATTTCCTAACTGTTTGATATATCCTTCACATAACCTGATTTATATTTCTTGATATAGATTTATATCATTGTGATGTACTATGAATAATCTTAATGAATTTGATTTTTTACTCATACTAGGTTGACCTTTGACACCAGCACCTTTACATGGTAGTAGTTGTTTGTTTGCTGGGTGTTTCGCCCTGTCAACACCTGGGGTCATTTTGGGGCAGTGTCTCAGTAATAACCTTATCATCATGAGCAATATGAGGGAGGCTCATCGAAACATATCTACAGTTACAAGGGTATAGTGAGCTTCCAGGTAGGTACTGAATCACACACCTTAGATCTTCACCTGAGAAACACAAAACATTGTGATGATGTTCAGAAAACATTACTCAGACATGTTTAAAGTATCATTTACATGTATTTGACTTGATTGATTTCACCAACAACCTCGATCTTGGCCTCACATCAAGCAATATCTGATCTGACAGATGTTTACACCGAAGAAGTTATTTTTAAAAACTGAGTCTTGAACGTGATCTAACACTTAATTTTGTTTATATTGGCCTTCAGTTTTGAAGAAACCTAAAATCTTAAATAAGTACATTATCACATCTTCATGTAATTATGAAATGCTTTTACAGGCTTACGGACCTTGACTCACCCAATGATTTCATTGTTAGACTGTAGTACTTCCCATAATGACCTTGACCTTTCATTTTGTAATCTTTGTCATAATGTTATCACAGAACACTGTACAAAGACAAAATGAGGTTATACATGTAGGACTTCTACATCCTCAGAAAAAGCTAGGCTATGATTCAGGATGTTTCACAGATGGACTTTAAATTAATGAAAGGCTGATTTCTGAAGATATTTCATTTAAGTCAGATTTCAATTAGCATGCAAAATAGGTACTTGAAAAAGAGAAAAATCTGATAAAAGTGTAAACAATCTGCACATTGCTTGTTTCAACCTCATGCATACTATAGCTCTTTACTTAACTTACAAATTTGGAACCAAAGTCAAGGTCATTAGTGAAAGTCACATGGAGTGCATGCACTGTAAGGTTTGAGAGAAATCAATTTGACAGTTATAGCTGTATTCAAATAGTTTATACTCCCTTTTTGTATACATGCAGTAAATGTATCCTAACTGAATCCATTCTTTTGAGACAGAAGAAATATATCATTGGGTTTTTGTGGTTAGTAAAGAAGTGTGTGAATGCTATAGAATGCTTTTTATTTCTCACACTGGTGTACTTGAAGTCTAGAATTGGAAAGTCAAAATATTTGGAGATAAATTGTTGCTCAGAAATGTGAATTTAACTTTTTTGGGGATACTGAAGGTTTTCCTGTTGGTGGCTAATCTCTTCACTGTTAGAAAAGTAAAGGCATTAATTTTTGTACTTTCAAGCACTTTTAGATAGTTTAAGCATGTCACACTGCTTAAATACTAGCTGTCACATATTAACACAGCAAAGTTTGTGTTTAATTCTATTGGTAGTCTTCTAATGAAAACCTGAGTTAGAAGGTGGTCTCTGAGACACAGCCTCCTTTCTGAGGTGATTCACAATGACCAAGCAATGGTGAAAGGAAATAAGTTTCCAGCATGGTATTCCCTATCATTTGCTACACTGAACTTTTAGAACAGTTGGACATCAATGCAATTTGATTATGAAAATTCTTTAAAGAACTATGATCTTCACACAAATTCATATACAGATATTGCTGTACAACCCTATATTTTGCTTCAAACCTTTACTCTTCCTTAATGCTTTAATGGACTTCATTGAAATTTTGTCCGAAACATCATGTAACGTTATGGTGCTGCTGTTGTTTACCTTATTCTTTGAGAGCATGACATTATTTATTTGAAGTGACATTTACATGGCAGGTGTTGTCAATTAAGTAGAACTTATCCTTCAACAACTCTTATTCTACTGCTTGTTTTTTTCAGAAGTCACTGTGTTAATCTTTCTTTTGCTCATATTTGGGTTTGAATTCAGATTTTGTTGATACGTGTGTATTTTCTTTGTTATTGTAACAGACATGGTAGCATGGCACACACTGCCAGTCCTTGCACATCCTATAACAAACCATTTGGGACAAAGCCTATCCCTCATTCAGAGGACAGCCACATCAAAGGCCAAAAGTGAGGTGTTGTCATGAGAAATAAGGAAAGGAAAAAATATTCCAAACGAAAAAAGAAGAGAGAGATAGAAATTCCTTGTAGGGTAGGCTGGAAACACAACATAGAAATAGTCTTACTTGTAGGGTAGGCTGGAAACACAATATAGAAATAGTCTTACTTGTAGGGTAGGCTTGATACACAACACAGAAATAGTCTTACTTGTAGGGTAGGCTTGATACACAATATAGAAATAGTCTTACTTGTAGGGTAGGCTTGATACACAACACAGAAATAGTCTTACTTGTAGGGTAGGCTTGATACACAGTATAGAAATAGTCTTACTTGTAGGGTAGGCTGGATACACAATATAGAAATAGTCTTACTTGTAGGGTAGGCTGGATACACAATATAGAAATAGTCTTACTTGTAGGGTAGGCTGGATACACAATATAGAAATAGTCTTACTTGTAGGGTAGGCTTGATACACAACACAGAAATAGTCTTACTTGTAGGGTAGGCTTGATACACAGTATAGAAATAGTCTTACTTGTAGGGTAGGCTGGATACACAATATAGAAATAGTCTTACTTGTAAGGTAGGCTGGATACACAATATAGAAATAGTCTTACTTGTAGGGTAGGCTGGATACACAACACAGAAATAGTCTTACTTGTAGGGTAGGCTTGATACACAATATAGAAATAGTCTTACTTGTAGGGTAGGCTTGATACACAATATAGAAATAGTCTTACTTGTAGGGTAGGCTGGAAACACAGTATAGAAATAGTCTTACTTGTAGGGTAGGCTGGAAACACAATATAGAAATAGTCTTACTTGTAGGGTAGGCTGGATACACAATATAGAAATAGTCTTACTTGTAGGGTAGGCTGGATTAATGAAATAGAAATACTGAAATGAAAAACAAAAAAGCTATGTGTTAAACAGACCAAAGAAGAGCCCTTTAATAACCTGTAACATCATGATTATCCAAAGCACAAAAAGCTGAGAGTAGGAAGCCATTTAATTTGTGGTAAAGACTCATTATCAGCAGAGGAGTTTGATGGCAGAGATTGATTAGTGGTACAGCTGATAGTACAAGGAATTCTTTACAGCAACTTAACCTTAAACTATAGCACAAATCAAATATAGGGCTGGAAAGTGTGTTTACAATATATCTGTAAACTAAATGTTTCATTTCAGGATTTTTTATTGTATGTTTTTATGTCAATATTATTTCAAACAGATATTATTGCTATAAATGAAATACGAATGGGGTTTTTGTTGTTTTGCTTCAATTTTCTTTTTGCCTCCATAAAGATGCTGGTTGAATTCGGTGGCAGGAACACAAATAAAAAACAACATCTACGCAGCTGTCTCACATAACACCCTAGCACAAACATTGCTGTAGAATGTCCATTAGCTATGTGTACACAGACGAGAGATATCTCCATCAACATTGTTTACTGCTTTCAAATATGTGTTGACATATGTTTATTTCTGTCCGTGATTAACACAAAAAACAATATGCAGTATCATCTAATTGTAGAAATAGATTGTGATTTGGAATTCATTAGCTGAATGTCTGCCAATATTCTTACTTCCCTTCTATACACAGCATTTCAAATCTATCACCCTGGCTGTTTGTAATCTAGGCAAGGTGGCAAATTCAAGATTCGATATTTTATTTTTAATATTTTTGTGTAGGTGTTTTTTTTATGACATAACATTTTCTGGTAATGTAACAATTTCAAATTAGTCAAATGTAAACTATTTATATCATAAAATGATTGTCTATCATGAATCTGTGCGATAATTTTGTGTGTATGCGACCTCGTCAATTAATATTCTGCCCTCCTTTTATGCTTCTTTTATCACAGGATACACCTGAGACCAGACACTGACTTTTTCCTTTCTGTAGTAAAATTTAATATAACATTTGCTTACAAAAAGTCCCATACCAGTCATACCTTTGTTTTGATTTCATTGTAAAGATACAGGTGCCTTGTTTCTTTAATTTCAGTCTTGTGTTGTATATATGTAGTGAAATAGCTTGCTTCAAATTTGTTGAACATTTTAACTGGATAATTCTTGAAATTCCAGTTTTTTTAATGTGTTATTTAAATTTTCAGGTTTTGTTTGGAATTTGGTGGTGATGGGTGTTTTATTGACTATTGGAGATAGTGAGAAGTGAACAGACATGAAAACAAGTGAGTGTAACGATGCTTACATAAGTACACAGTAAAATATCAGATCTCATTGTTATTTGCCAAGAAACCATAACACAAGTTAGCTGTTACTTATCTTTCACTCCCAGCTTCATGCATTTGTTTTTTGAGACTTTTTAGAGAGTTGTGTCAGACTCTTAAAGTCTAAATGTCGTTCATAATGGTTTACCTATAGATACCACCCATGGTTATGTTACTCTCATTGTAACGACTATAAGATTTACCCCAGTAATGTTTCTGTCATTGTAACAACTAAGATTTACTCCAGTAATGTTACTGTCATTGTACTGACTGTAAGAGTTACTCCAGTAATGTTTCTGTCATTGTAACAACTAAGATTTACTCCAGTAATGTTACTGTCATTGTAACAACTAAGATTTACCCCAGTAATGTTACTGTCATTGTACTGACTGTAAGATTTACCCCAGTAATGTTTCTGTCATTGTACTGACTGTAAGATTTACCCCAGTAATGTTACTGTCATTGTAACAACTAAGATTTACCCCAGTAATGTTACTGTCATTGTACTGACTGTAAGATTTACTCCAGTAATGTTTCTGTCATTGTACTGACTGTAAGAACAACTAAGATTTACCCCAGTAATGTTACTGTCATTGTAAGTACTGTAAGATTTACCCCAGTAATGTTTCTGTCATTGTACTGACTGTAAGATTTACTCCAGTAATGTTACTGTCATTTTACTGACTGTAAGATTTACCCCAGTAATGTTACTGTCATTGTACTGACTGTAAGATTTACCCCAGTAATGTTACTGTCATTGTAACAACTAAGATTTACCCCAGTAATGTTTCTGTCATTGTACTGACTGTAAGATTTACCCCAGTAATGTTACTGTCATTGTAACAACTAAGATTTACCCCAGTAATGTTTCTGTCATTGTACTGACTGTAAGATTTACCCCAGTAATGTTACTGTCATTGTAACAACTAAGATTTACCCCAGTAATGTTACTGTCATTGTAACAACTAAGATTTACCCCAGTAATGTTTCTGTCATTGTACTGACTGTAAGATTTACCCCAGTAATGTTTCTGTCATTGTACTGACTGTAAGATTTACCCCAGTAATGTTTCTGTCATTGTACTGACTGTAAGATTTACCCCAGTAATGTTACTGTCATTGTAACAACTAAGATTTACCCCAGTAATGTTTCTGTCATTGTACTGACTGTAAGATTTACCCCAGTAATGTTACTGTCATTGTACTGACTGTAAGATTTACCCCAGTAATGTTACTGTCATTGTACTGACTGTAAGATTTACCCCAGTAATGTTACTGTCATTGTAACAACTAAGATTTACCCCAGTAATGTTACTGTCATTTTAACAACTGTAAGATTTACCCCAGTAATGTTTCTGTCATTGTACTGACTGTAAGATTTACCCCAGTAATGTTACTGTCATTGTACTGACTGTAAGATTTACCCCAGTAATGTTACTGTCATTGTACTGACTGTAAGATTTACCCCAGTAATGTTACTGTCATTGTAACAACTAAGATTTACCCCAGTAATGTTTCTGTCAGTACTGTAAGATTTACCCCAGTAATGTTACTGTCATTGTACTGACTGTAAGATTTACCCCAGTAATGTTTCTGTCATTGTAAGTACTGTAAGATTTACCCCAGTAATGTTTCTGTCATTGTAAGTACTGTAAGATTTACCCCAGTAATGTTTCTGTCATTGTAACGACTGTAAGATTTACCCCAGTAATGTTACTGTCATTGTACTGACTGTAAGATTTACCCCAGTAATGTTACTGTCATTGTACTGACTGTAAGATTTACTCCAGTAATGTTACTGTCATTGTACTGACTGTAAGATTTACCCCAGTAATGTTACTGTCATTGTAACACTGTAAGATTTACCCCAGTAATGTTACTGTCATTGTACTGACTGTAAGATTTACTCCAGTAATGTTACTGTCATTGTAACAACTGTAAGATTTACTCCAGTAATGTTACTGTCATTGTAACTACTGTAAGATTTACCCCAGTAATGTTACTGTCATTGTAACGACTGTAAGATTTACCCCAGTAATGTTACTGTCATTGTAACGACTGTAAGATTTACTCCAGTAATGTTACTGTCATTGTAAGTACTGTAAGATTTACCCCAGTAATGTTACTGTCATTGTAACTACTGTAAGATTTACCCCAGTAATGTTACTGTCTTTGTACTGACTGTAAGATTTCCCCCAGTAATGTTTCTGTCATTTTAACAACTGTAAGATTTCCCCCAGTAATGTTTCTGTCATTTTACTGACTGTAAGATTTACCCCAGTAATGTTACTGTCATTGTACTGACTGTAAGATTTACCCCAGTAATGTTACTGTCATTGTAACGACTGTAAGATTTACCCCAGTAATGTTTCTGTCATTGTAACTACTGTAAGATTTACCCTAGTAATGTTTCTGTCATTGTACTGGCTGTAAGAGTTACTCCAGTAATGTTTCTGTCATTGTACTGACTGTAAGATTTCCCCCAGTAATGTTTCTGTCATTTTAACAATTGTAAGATTTACTCCAGTAATGTTTCTGTCTTTGTCATAACTTTTGTTTTTGTAAAAAATATCAATGTTTTTTGTCCCTTTATACTCTTTAAATGTGCTTACTATTTAGTTAAATATCTGTCCTAGGCACAGACACCATTGTTTTAGGAAAATTTTATGTTTTACGTAAATAATGTAATAGGGTTTAAAGGAATTATGCTACCTTGTACGCTACTATTTCATTTGTTGGAAAAGGCAATGTTTAAATATACCAGTTCATTGGGTTAAGGAGTTATGCTACCTGTCTATTACTTTGCTATCTGGGTTAACTTGGCTGGAATTTCTTGTAAACCTTCAGGTTTGTCTTTTGGGTAGGAATTATTGGTAAGATGGCTGCTTCCCAGTCTCCTTTTCCCCCTTGTTCGGGGTGTGTGAGTGTCTGTGAGCAAACCATCCTTCGGGCACCCTGATTTCACCAGTTTCTGGTTTTGGAATTCTTCTTCGACACATACTCCTGGGTTTGCTGGGTTGTGACTCATTATACCCCCCGCAACGAAGTTAGGGGGGGTATACTGGAATCAGGTTGTCCGTCTGTCTTGGCGTCCGTCCGTCCGTCTGTCTGTAGACACATTTTGTCCGGCTAACTCCTCCTAAACCTGTGAACCGATTTTGATGAAACTTTACAGGAATATTAAGGATCATGTGTAGATATGCATGCCCCTTTCTTTTTTTGAAAATTTTGGTTGCCATGGTAACTGGTCACTATAAACAAGTTTTCTAATAAATGTCCATAACTCCTCAGTTATTTGACCGATTGTATTCAAACTTAGTAAAAAGATGTAATTAAGTAAGGCCAATAATTGGACATATTAGACGTTTCCCAAACTGTTACCGCGGAAACACAATCCTGGCCTCTGATTGGTCAAAATTTAGATATTGTCCAATTTTGACCAAATTTGGTATATAGGGTTATTAGGGGATGCCAAACATTATAAAATAGGTTTCGTTGCCATGACAAACATGTGTAGATATGCATGCCCCTTTCTCTTTTTGAAAATTTTGGTTGCCATGGTAACTGGTCACTATAAACAAGTTTTCTAGTAAATGTCCATAACTCCTCAGTTATTTGACCGATTGTATTCAAACTTAGTAAAAAGATGTAATTCAGTAAGGCCAATAATTGGACATATTAGACGTTTCCCAAACTGTTACCGCGGAAACACAATCCTGGCCTCTGATTGGTCAAAATTTAGATATTGTCCAATTTTGACCAAATTTAGTATATAGGGTTATTAGGGGATGCCAAACATTATAAAATAGGTTTCGTTGCCATGACAAACATGAGTGTTTAGTGTAGATCAAGAACATAACGGCAGACATTTTTTTGTCTCTGTGGCCCTTCAGTGGAAAATATTACTTCAATAAAGATGTAAGTATTGCAAGACTCTCTTGATCATGAACAACATGTATTCCACCCCTTCTGATTTCCAGAAATGCAGGCACATGCAGAATATGTCAATTACTCTCAGAATAACACTTTAACTTATCCATTGACTCGTTGCAGTGTGCGGGGGGTATTGGTCAGTCATCTAGGCGACAGTTCTAGTTGTTTTAGTGAGTTGATGGAGGTTAATGCCAATGACTATGCCACATGTGATGTGTTGAGTTGCTCGCATCTCAACCAGCTAAGCTTGAGTCGATTGACAGAGCTTGCAGCCTGCCCCGGCAAGATTGGGGACTTGATGGTGTAAGGCTCTAAAGAGCACCACAAGATAGAAACTGATTCCATCTGTATCTATATTGGGTATCTGATCTGTCTGAGGGTTGGATTTCTGAGACAGAACCGGCCGTCATTAAGTTACATCTACCCTGAATGCAGCATTGAGAGCTTTGGCTGTGTTGCAGGTGTCATCGATCATCAATAATGTGTTGGCATTTTTCTGTTTTGAAAAACCACCCAGTCAAGGAGCCTTATCTCTCCCATCTGGTGACTGCCTGCTTCTCAGGCCCTAGTCTTTTTGGAGAGGCCCTTCCTTCTGTGCAGAAGGATCTGAAGGAGGACTCAGTTGCCTTATCACTCAATGGAGAGGATTCAGGTCAAGAAAGCCATCACATCTAAGGGGTCAGTGCCTCTTAAGAAGAAGACTAAACATTCGGATACACAGTCTTCTTCAAAGCTGACTTTTGAGCCTTACTTCAAAGGCAACAAGGAGGAGGGTAAGATGGTTAAAAATCTTCCTGGGAGCAAGTAGAAAGGTTCTTGATTCCCTTCTCCCCTCCTTAGTCGCTACGGGCAAAGAGCTTGTCTGGAAGGGCAGCTCAGGGATCAAGCTCAGATCCATTTCTCATAGGATAAGACTTTAGGTCCCTTTCACTTCATACCTCTCCAAATGTTTCACTTGGTCAACTGGGACCCTTATTCAAGGGAATGGGAAGTTTGGCTTCCTCTGAACCAGTCAATAGTTATCGTGTA